CCAAAACTTTAAAAGGTAGTTTTCTTACAGTTCTAGGACTTCCTTAAAATATAAAGAATTACAGAAAATCAGCATTAATGATTCAGTCAGCTTGTTGTAATGTGTTTTTAATGCAATTACTGGCACTGACAATAGCTCGCTCTGGTAGCTGTAGTGGAATGCTCTCTGCAGCCACCTGTGGAACATGAAGCAGTATCCTCTTGATATAATGTTGCTGAGTAGTGGAGTGCTGTTGTTCAATTCCTGTACTAAATTTATTTAAGGAAAACCCGATTCCTCAGTCTCAGATCTGCTTGCAGTATTTTTCCATTGTGCTTTTTGTTTCTTAAACATTTTCAGCCAATTTCTAGGTTAAAAAGGCTATTTCGAACCTACAGTAGCAAGAGAACTCCCTTGAAAGGGAAGGAAGTGATACTGTTCTTCATAAACATCTCAGATCAAACAGTAGACTGTTTTAATATAAAATGGCTGTGTAAAAGAAGGTTCAGTGGTATGTAAAACCTAACCTAAGTGTAGCAACCCCAAAGCTATAAATCACAGTGACAGAATCTAAATAATCTTGTTTAATTTTTTTATTTTATTTTTGTCTGTAGGAAAGAATAGATAGCAAAACCTGGATGCAGTCCTTGTTTACACTCAACTGATTCTTAGAATCCCAAGTTATAAACTCCCCCTGCAAACAGTTAGTAAAACGCTTTGGGCTGCATAGTCACGTGCTATAAATTGAAGGAATCCTGTAACGAAGATATAAGAACTTAACAGGTTGTCTGGAAATCTAACTCAAGTGCCTGTGAATAAAGGACAGTTCTGTAAATGATGATTTCATGTCAATCCTGAGGTTGTGTAAAGTCTGGAAAATGTGGCAGTGCATATCTTTCAGAGCGTCCTAAAAACAGCTTTTTGTCTAGATTGTTGTTAAATAGCTGTATGTTTTAACAGAGCAGAGCTTGTTGAAATGTGCTATAGTAAATGGATTTTTGTTGTTATAGACCTTCTCTTAGATGTTTTTATCTGAAATATTTTCTTATGCATTTTAAAACAAATTCAGCCGGTACAATCAAGTTCCGTCCTGTGCCTGATGTCCATTTTTTTTTATAGGCTTTAATAGACTTGTCAGGTCGAGGTAGTAAAACTTAAAACATAATTTTAAAACTGTAAGCTAGCTAAAATAAGCATTATACTTGAAGCAAATCAGTGAAGGGAGTGTTGCTGACAGCAACCTCTGTACCTACAATATTACCTGTTAATTTTGAGTGAAAGCCACTTAAAGGCTTAACTTTATTGGATTACATTTTGTGTGCTCAGAGGATGGACTTCTGACTTTCAAAGTACTAAGCTGCTGAGAAAACAGAATGTTTTTTTCCCCATGCCAGTCCACAGGTTCATGATGAGCTGATGTGATTTCTTCTTTTTTCAGTCCTGTGTGCTGATAGTGGGTCTGTGGCTGCAGAACTACCTTAGGAAAATGAGATCTGAATTCCAGTTTATGAAGCAATTCCGGTTTATGAAGTCTTTCCCAAAACTGCTATGGAAAACTGCAAGTGTTTGTAGGGTTGCACTGGCATCTTGATCAAGGAAGTGACCTGACTTGAAGAAAATCTTGGAGAAAAGGGGAAGAAGCGAGTGGTGGGAAATCCTCAGGTGGTGTTCTTGCCCAAGCAGTAGTTCTAATTGGATATTATCAAAATATGGCCTCAGTTTCTTAGTAAAACTTAAGACTCTACCTGTGTGCTCTTTGCCCATGTAAAATTTGTGGTTGTGCAGATTACTCAGTGCCATTATTTTGTAGAAAAATTTACTTTACAAAAGCCTAGCAGTTCAGAAAGGGATTCTTCCTCCCTGGTATAATTTGATGATGGTAATGAGGTATATATTATTCTTTGTGTAATTTGCCGTCCTTGATGAATATGGAGGCAGCAGCATAGATTTAAAAAAGAGTAAAATTAACATTTTAATTATTAATATTGCAGTGTAGATCCTAAGAAAGTTAACTAGATGATAAAGATCTGATAGCTTAGTACCTTTGGCTTGGCCAAAATAGTGAAAAGGGAATGGATGATCAGCTCAAATTTCTCAGTTCCTCAGCCTTTTTCTTGCTCTATCCTGACTCTTTCCTCAAGAGCAAGCATCCCATAGTCCATTCCCAGCTTGCCTTTCCAGTTGGTACAGCTGCTTCTTTATACACTGAGCGCTCAGGGTAGTCACCCTCAGAAGTTCCTCTCTGGTTTGGCTTTTGTGCTCTTGGCCTTATGGCTGCTTCTTTGCAAACCTATAGAAGCAGCATCAATTTCTGTTTTCCCTGTCTTGTCTGCTTTGACACGGCTAACGTGTTCTTCTTGAACACTTGCTATCTTTGCTTTCATGAGTCTTTCTTTTTCTAGTTCTCGCCTTCCTCCCCCATGACCTGTTTCTAGAGTGCTTTCTTCAAGGTCTTTCTCTCAGCTGTGATTTGCCTATAGTTTGTCTTTTTCAGGCATGTGTTATTTCTGGGTAGTATCACCTGCCAGGATAAGTTCATGGGTTGCTTCTACTCAAATCATCTGTAGATCTGATTTTTTTTTTTCTTTTTCCAGCTAGTTACAGGTAACTAGCTCAAACTTCAGTTGACCTAGTTCAGTTCAAACTTCATACAGCCATAGCTTCCAGGGAGGAAGTGAAGTAAGTCTTATTTGAATGCAACAGGGCAGAGGGAACCAGTGAAGGGATGCCAAGACAAAGTGTCATGGTCAAAATGAGAGGCAAGGAGAGCAATTCTGCAGTGTGGTGGGATGAGATTAACAAAGTCTTTGTGAAGATGCTTGTAAGCACTGAAGGGCTTTTGAATCTGGTAGAGAAAGATGAAACAGGATCCTCAGTTGTTAGGAAAGCAGCCCAGAGGCTGAAAAGAGGTGGAGCCCAGTGGGTCTATAATTAGTAAGCCTGTCTTGTAACCATGCTTTATCCTTGTATATGATGCTTCTGGTGTCTGTTTTCATTGTAGTTTGATGTTCAGTGTCAGTCTTACCAGTATTACTGATACTAAGCCAACTTCGATGTTAGTGGAACCAAGATCCCAGGTTCCCTGGTGATCCACGTAGGGATTGGTATGGGTCTCAAAGCATTTCCTTTCTCCCCCCCCCCCCCCCCAACGTATTATGGTCATTGCAGGAAGCAATCTATCCATGAAGACAGCCATCCATTTAAGGCTATTAGGAACTATGTAGTAGGCTTGTCTCTTCCAGAGTGTGCATGATGGTTTGCATGACTTGCCCCGCAGTATTTTCACATTTGGCTGCTATATTTCCTATCCTTCAGACATCTGACTTCACCTCTGTAGTTTCATTTGCAGAACTGATGAATGGATATGCCTTGACTGTACTAATGAACCATCAGCTGCTTTAAAAAAAAAAAAAAAATCTGACCAGTATCTTCTCAAATTAGGCCTGTGAAACTAGCTGGATATTTTCATTTTGATCTTTGTATATTACTTTCTGGTGCATGTATTGAGGGTAATACATTTCCTTGTACAGGGTTATTGTGAAAATAAGAGTATTATGATCTGTGTATAAACTATATTGAGAGCGTAGGAAGAAAGTAATAGTATATATTCAGCGAAGAGCTTGGATGGCATGTAGTAAAAATATATGGGCTAAACATTAGTTGTTAGGTTTAGGCTGTCAGGAGTTTTACAACTGTAATCTACATGCCCGAAAGATATGGGTGTAGTCTGCCCAAGCAGTTCTACGTGTAGAGGGTGTGTGTGTGTTGTTTTTCCTTAGTTTGTTTTGTTTTTTGTTTTTTTCTTTTTAATTTTCTAAACCTCAGGCTGTTAATCCTCTTACTTTCTTTTAGCATAGTTACTTGTGTGGTAGATACATAAGAAGCAAACCCTTTTCCTTTGTCCGGCCTAGTCTTTTTTCAGAAGCTAACATCCTTTTCATCTTTATCACCATTTCTCGCAAAGTATAGACAGCCTTACCAGACTCCTTTTTTGGTCCTTGAGTAAATTAAGGAACAGTGTTCTGATACAGCAAAGCTCCTTACCTTCTGTCTTTATGGTTTCTTGAAGTCTAATCAACCAGTTTCTGTAGGTAATGCTTCAAGTCTTTTTTTTTGTTTGGGCTTTGGCTACAGTGTATCTAATTTTTAAAAATATTTCATTCTCTGGAGATTCTGATTCTGCTGTTGCTGAAAGGAAGGAGGAGCTGCATTTTCCTACTGCAAATGTCCCTTCTCCAGAGCTGTCTGACTGGTGTTGGATTTGGTTGGGAACAGTGAAAACTTCATAGCCTTTGCTTAGTCTCCTTCCTTCTCTGCCCTATGGCTTTGTCTGCTGTTGTCCATATACTCTTGATATATAGGAACTTGAATTGACCTTCACTAGTGCCTCCAGAAATTTGGATAATAGGAATGAGAGCAACTGAAGTCTTAAGGTGTGCTGCTCTTGCTTCTTAAAGATAAGAATGAGGAAAATACTGGGTATCTGTCTGCAGACTGAGGAGGACATTATTGCATCGGACGTACTTTATCTTTAGGAGGCTTATTTTTCAAGAACGAGCAGTGGAATGTCTTGAATATCCTGCCACTTGACTGGCAAATCTTTCTTGCTGTGTTCTAGTGTTTTTTATCCTCTTGTAATTGTCAGAAAGCTGCAGTTCTGTTAATTAAGCATTACTGCTCTTACGGAAGAGGATTATGCCTCCAGTTCTCCGTGTTTGGTTGTATTGTAGTCACTGATTTGACAAGAGACTGCTTGTACAAGTTGTTTCTTCGGACACCCTAATCCAACATTCTGTTTTGAGCAGTTAAGAACGATTTGGGGCAAGAGATCTTGATAGTTACTCCTATGTTAGTAATTTAATGTGTGTTAGAGAGCTGAAATGAGTTCCTTAAAAGATCCCATGTAGTCAGTTTTCCTTTCTGGTTCTTTGCATGACCAGATGTGCTTCTGTATTGGGAAGAAATTTGTGAAGGACTGTGTTACTCCAGCTGTTTTCATAGTAACTATTTTTATGTTTCAGGTTCACACTTTTCTAAAAAGAGGAATAGAACAGGAAGAAATGGCAGCAGAAACTCAGACACTTAACTTTGGGCCTGAATGGTGAGTGTGTGTGGTTGTTTTTTTGTTTTTTTTTTTTGTATTATGAAATTCTGGAACCTTATCTGAAATTTTTAAGAACTTAAGTGTTTCAGTGCTTGGAGGCTGAATCAGTTATAAGACCGAATGGCATATAATACCTTTTTCTTTTTTGTTCCTTACTGCTGCTTCTGAGTCCCTGACCTGTGACTGAAAGCAATGTTCATATTATAAAGTTAGTCCTCATTTTTATAATTTGACACTGTGTATGAAATGAATTGGATTTCATGTTACTGTAACGTGTAACATTAGCTTTGCTACAAAGGACCTGAGAGAGGAATAATGCTTATTGTGTCTACTTCAGAGACAAAGTGAGTAAGGCAGACAGCTTATTTGGTCTTCCCGTGTCATAAGTATTAATAAGGAAGTTCTTACCCTGTCCTTACTGGATTCAACTCTGAAAAGAGAAAACTTGCTTAGCTGTAGTGTTGCAAAAAACCTTCTTGGAATATGTTAAAAGTGATCTGTTCATCTCATCACCTACTGTATGTGCACATAGAAGAGTATCAGAAAAAAAGTGTTTTGTTAGTGGGGCTCCATGGCACTGTATCACCTTACATCAGTTGCTAGAAAGCTTTCTAGCTTAGCTGACGTGCATTGTGCTGGCTTTCGCTAAAATGTGGAGGGGTGATTATTTAGCATTTTCTCCAATTTCTTGGTAACTGTGAGGTTTCAAATGGGGATTTTTAGTTGGTGTGCTTTCTAGAGAAATGTATACCCTTTAAAAGGGAGTACGGAGTGGTTATAAGAAATATAATTGCTATATCGTGTGCAGTAAGACTGTTACTGGAATAATATGTTCACTTTTGCTGACACGTTTTTATGTATATCTTACTAAAATTGAAGAGTATTCAAAAAAGAAATAAAGCATGACTTGTGGCCTGGAAGAGGATGAGAGAGCTCAGTGTTTCATTAGTTTGAAAGAAGGTTAAAGAATGACTTTATCGCTATCTATAAATATACCCACCAGGCAGATATCTTATGCTAGAGTGCTCTTCAGTGTAACAGACAGACATGATTAGATCCATTGATGGATGGAAGCCAAAGTTATGTTAAAAAAAGAGAAGGGGGAAGGTAACTCTAAAAAAAGCACACATTTTTACCAGTAATCTAAGATTGCTGTGTCACAGTGAGGGACTTGATAGTCTCTGTTTATTTTTAAATCCAGATTAGATTGTGTGAAAGGTATATGTTTTATTTCAATGAGTTACTGGATTTGGTACAGGAATAATGGAGTAAAGTTCTAGGATTTATAATTACTCTTCTGGGTTGCAGTACACTCAGGTCTGTCATGTATGCTATTCTATCACTTCTTAATAGTGAGACTCTCAGTCACATCTAATCTGGATTGGAGTTGAACATTACATTGAGCCATCTAATCCCTGGAATAATGCCTCTCCAGATATTTTTGATTTGGAAGTGACATGTAAAGAAATTGCCGCTGGGTGGCACCAAACTAAAAAAATCAAATACTGTTGGAGTGACTTGCATGATGCTTTTTTCTTTCTGTACAGTTAGAAGAACATAAGTTTACTCAAAAATTCTGTAATTTTTTTTTAATTAGGTGAAAAGTAACATCTGAATCAGTATTGTAGTTCAGAACCTTTGGCAAAGGTGTTCTCTAATTGTTAGAAATAATTTTCATTGATTTCCCTGTTTGGGATGCATAGCAAGGAGAGTGTAGGAAAATGGGCTGTTCTGTGTTTCTTGACTCGCATCCTTTTGTAAAATATTCCTCAAACTTAAACTAGGGTAGTCAGACAGCTGAGAAAATGGTTATATGGAATGAGAGTATGGATTGGGAGTAGTGTCATATAATTATAAGACAACTATTATCCACAAGAAGTGGCTAATCTGTGTAGGATGGGAGCAAATCTAATAGCATATTTGTTTGGAACTCTAAACTACCACTTGAAACATCTGTGAAGTGGAGAGTTGCTATGTGTTGTACAGCTTTTGTACTGAAACACTAAAATACCTTAATGATGTATACGCTCTGCAAAACATGCTGGTAGTTTCAAGTTCTAGAAAAGTAATTTGGAGTCAAATAGAATTCCAGAGATGATGGTCACAGAGGAAAAAATCTCATTGTGAAATTTGCTGTCTGTTACTGTTTGTTAAACTTTGCTAAATGCTTGACTAAACTTTTTCGTTAGAGCAGATTCACATTTGCTGTACTGTTCTTACTGTGGTAAGAACTTTCCTTGTGAACTAGGATACAAAGAAAAGTTATTGTCATTTAGTATCTGTACAAGGTATATTATACAACTGAATTTTGAGCACCCAGTGTAAATACCGAAGTAAGGGGGCTAGGTCATTGTGTACTTAACACAGAGGTAGAGGGGTTTTCCAGGGGATGAGTTGAATTCCTTAAAGCGTGCTTGCAATTATTTTTTCCTCTCTTTCCTGGCTATAGGAAAAATGAAGGAAGCTGTTTTTATTTTGGAAGCACCAAGGTTTAGGATTTTCAAGTTAGACTATGTAAATATTTCTACTTTTATTGCCGTTTTGTGTGTGTGTGTCAAATCTGCATAAGGTGCAGAGGGAAGATAGCATAGGTGAAGACATTATCCTCGGTTCTATTCTCACTGTTTTTCTGCTTTATTTTAGGCTGCGAGCTTTGTCTAGTGGCGGGAGTGTGACATCCCCTCCTCTGTCTCCGGCTTTGCCAAAGTATAAACTAGCAGACTATCGTTATGGGAGAGAAGAAATGTTGGCACTTTTTCTAAAGGATAATAAGGTGAGCAGGAAGAGGAAGAAGACCTGATGTCTGTATATGCAGAGTCTTATGATTAGGGATAGTTATTTGTATTTTGTGAATGTATGCACAGAAATTGGGTATTGCTTGACAAAGAACGGAAGAATCTAATTAGTTTTTGTGTGTCCATTTGATCACGCTCTTAGTGCATTCATTATGTTTAATTCTTTTGGCCAGCAGTGACTTCAGAGGCAACTTCTTGTACCCCTCTGAGAACAAGAAAACCTGTTTGCTATATTCAGTCCCATTGCCACAGATGACAGAGGGATAAAGTCTCCTTGCAGCCCTGCAGATTTGCTTTCTTCTGTAGGATTTTATTTAATATAGTTGGAATAGACTTGATTCAGCTTGACATTCAGGCAGTAAATTACATTAGCAGATCATCTGAAAAGATAAGAGCTCCCCATTTGTGCTGACTCAAGGCAGTTCACTTAACAGGTATTCAGTTCAATTAGAGCAGTCCTCCAACTGCTTATCTGGAACTCAAGTCACAAATACAAGCTAGCCAATGTAATACGAAAGAGCAACATGAAAAAATAAAGAAAAAACTTCCCTGTTTAATTGAGGGGGAGGTTCTCCATGTTGCAAGAGTCACATTTCAGACCTCTATATGAGAGCATTTCGGGTAAATGAGTCATACATTCTGCTTTTGTCTACTTTTTAAAGTAGACGGTGCAGAGACTGATTTATTGTTGCAGCAAGCACATAATAGACTTGAAGTCTCAATGCCTCCTAGAGCATCCCTCCCTCAAGTGTGGGAGGGACTACAAGAAGTTTTGTGGGTTGTGCCTTTAACTTTGCATATAGATGTGTGTGCGCACCTCCGTCTTACTCTACTAAGAGTGTGCTGTTGTGTTTTCACACAGCGCTGGGGGCTCTGCGTTGCTTGTACTACACAGATTCGGAGCCTTTGAATATCAAAGATTTTCAGAAGCTTTAAGTATGTTATAGCTTAAAGCCATCCTTTAACATACAGAATCCTCCTGGTTTACTTTGAGGAGTTGTGATTTAAACTTTGCAGTGTTTGAATGAGTGAGTCTGTCAAAGACCATTGTTTTATGCAGTTTGTCTGTGTTGTATATGATGATTCTGAGACCTCTGCAGTTACTGCTGATCCAAACCACCTAATTTCCTGTTTTTAGAGGAAGCTTTCCAATGGTTATGGATGGTCCAAAAGATCACTTCCCCCCACGTGTGTGCTGGAAGGGCATTATTATTGGAGCACAGCATGCTTTGTATTAGGAGAATTGGATACCTTGCTTCTGATATACGTTTTCTGTGGAGTTCAGTAATTCTAGTTATTTAGACCTGAGAGGTCTCTTGACACTGTTTATTGTCAGCTACCAGAGGTAATGTTGTTAAGTCTGTGCCGTAAACTACCAGATTTAATGGTTTTGTATGCCTGTGTTGTATCTGGCACCGTAATCTTTTTTCCACTGTGTCGACGTGGTTCTTTGGCTCAATGTTAGGCGAAGTTGCAGCTCTGATTAAAAGATATTCTAATTAAAAGCAGGAGGGTTTCTGTTAGTGTATACTCAAATGGAGGGGCAGGGAGGAAGGGGAGGACTAGTTTGCTTTCCTTGAAGTAAAATTGGGGGAAGCCTTTATCTGTAGTATTTTGGACTACATATTCTTGAAACAAAGTTCTCTATTGGCATAATTACAGTTCAGTTGGCTATAATTTCAGCTTCTTGCCTATGTGCTCAAGGTCACATCTGCTAGAAGGTGGAATGATTAAAAATTAGTGTTCAAATTTATTTTGACTTAAACAATGATTTAATACTTGCATCCATGTTCCCTGCTTAATAAATCCATAACTATATAGTTTCATTTTACTTATTTTCTTGTTTTAGTCTCATTGTTGGTTATCATAGGAAATACTGATCTTAACCAAAAAAAAAAAAAAGGGCATTAAAACCTGTATGCCCGCTCCCTCTGTGTGTGGGTATATATATGCTAATTCTGTTAATATATTAAAAATCTGAGTTAAAATGTGCGTACTTACCAGATGAACTTTCACTTGGTTCAGATTTGAGCAGCACTGGTGTATAAATGGAAATCTTATTTTCTGATCTTGGTACTTTACATATGTAAGTTTTGGGTGGTGGATGCATTGGATGTTTTCTCTATAAGAATTTTTTTCTGGGAAGGTAAATTGGCAATGGAGTAACTTCCTCCCTCCACATCATCTCTCTCCCCCCACCCATTGTTACTGGAAGTACTGGTGTACTAGGTAGATAGAGATTTGGCAGGATAAAAAGCATTTTTATGTCTATGTAGATCCAAGTATGTGGCATCATCCCTGGAATGCTTGTTTATACTTGTGTACATCAAGTATGTGTATGCTCTGCTTTCATACAGATACCTTCAGACCTTCTGGATAAGGAGTTTCTGCCTATTTTACAAGAGGAGCCCCTGCCACCATTGGCACTTGTACCTTTTACAGAAGAAGAACAGGTTTGTAGTCATACAAAGATACAGGGTGTGTGTGGTTTTTTTTGTTTTTATTTTTAATCTTTAGGCTGACGTTAATGTAAAGGCAAAATAGAGAATATGTTTCAGTTTTAAAACATGAAATTAGCAGAAATCCCAAATTTAACATTGGTAGACTTCAGGAAAGAAGTTCTAAAAACGTGCTGTGTTGGCATAAAGTTGAAATTCTAGCCATACTCAATGGTTATCTTAAATTTGACCAAGTATTTTTCATATGATGGTCTGTTCTGTTGATAGCAGGCATTGTCAACTCATTGAGCCCAAAATCAACAGAATATTCTGAGATGCGTTACCTGTTCTTCAAGTACACGGCACTTTCAGACCCGTGAAACTCTTTCTACAATTTTTGTGCCACCTTCTCTTTTGTGATAGAAGCATCCAAGTTCTGAAATGTCAGCTTGTGGTCTTTGGAGAAGTGTTGAAGTTTTTTGCCTGCCTTCCAAATTACTTAGGAAGGTCCGTTACTTTCTTAACTATGCTCTATGTAAGCAGTTGCTTGATTATTTATTTGCTTGCTTGGTTTCTGTAATTACATTATCAACTGGCGAACAAGATAAAAGCAAGAACAGGTAGTCCACGAAAAGGTTTCCATTTTGAGTGTGGCCAATCTAAGACCTTTAAAAGCCCTTCCTTTAAAGTCAGTTCCTAGAGGAAGTTGTAGCAGGGAGGACTCTCTCAGCCTTCCAGTGCCTTTGACTTCTGACTCTGAATTGATTCTCTCCTTATGGCTCTTTAAACTTGTGATTGTGCAGTTGCTCTCTGGTTTGTTGTGTTTCCTATCACCTGCCTGACTTCAAAATACTGTGATTTCTTTTTGCTAAGAGCAGAAACTCAGGTGTTTTTACTGACTGTAGTATAATTTGTGTTTTGGCAGGGGGGTATCAGTATACTTATTGTGTCTTTTTAGGTTGCTGTCCCCTCACGTAAGATGCTAATAGATCAGCTTTTATAATCAGCAGCCTTTTCAAGCTCCTATTCAGATGAAGATGCTGTTGGTACTGCATGTAGTTGTTCTAGTCTTAAAAGGCAGCTGAGAAGGAGGATATGCTTTTATGTGAATCTTTGCCCAGAGCGCGTTCCCAAGTGGCAACAGGAGGGTTCAGGCAGCAGGCCCGTGGAATGATTGCCGGATGTGCAGTAGCACACACTATCTTGAACGTTGCTGTTAAATATCTTTGGGCATATTTTTTACTGAGGAATGGGGGAGTCTTTAGGCAGTAAACTACAAGACTTTTATGGTCAAAGGAGACATTGACTTCCAGTGATTGCAAAGATCTTCTCCAAGGGGGTGATGTGAGCTTAAGGCCATTAAGTATTGAGTATGTGCCAAGTAGCCTCTTGATACAAGTGAGATGGTAAGTGCTGCTGAAGCTACAAGGATAGGTGGTGCTCTACTGCAGTACCCAGTGTTTCATCAAAATCTTAAACTTAAGAGCATTTCCCAGGAGCCTGTGTGCATATGTCCCTGCTTTCTCTTCCTGCTCATTTTGTTTTTTGATTTTGCAGCGGACATGGTGGTGGGCTTAAGAGTTCTCTGCAGTCTGAACAGAAATCTTCATCTGAAAGAAGAGGTCCATGTCCTTTTCTAACCAAGTATTATTTTTAATGCTTTCTGAGGATCCAGAGGACATGAGCAATCTCTTTTTTTTCCTTGTCTGAAATGCATTTGGATCTTTTTTCACCTCACAACTAATTTGTTTGAGATGACAAGGGAACAGCAGTGTTCAAGCTATCAGAAATGTTGGTGTTTGTACCCCATGACATATAATAAATGTTGCTCGTCATCAAGAATCTGTATGAGGTGATCATGAGGTGAAAACTAACGGCTTTACTGCTCGTTGTAGCACAGGGAAGCTCTTAGGTGAAAAAGGAGAGTTGAAGACATGTTTATGCCCTTCTGTGAATGCTGCTGGTAATACTCTATCAAAACTCGAGAGAGAGAGATTTGAGGGTCTTAGAGAGGACAGGCTGGTCAGAATGAATGTACTGCACGATAGTTGTGTTTAGCTGGAGCTGAACCAGTCAAACTTACTCTAGCCTTGGATTCAGAGTGGTTCCTGCTTGTAACCGGACAGCTATGCTCCTGATAGTGTTAGAGCTGTGTGTGTTAGTACATCCAGGAAGAACTTGTGCTTGTCTGATCTCTCCCCAGCTGATTTAAAGACACGTTATGTAGATATGGATGATAGACGGTATCGATTATGTGAATTCAAGCTTCAATTTGTTTAGCCTGCCTTGTGAAATTTATTTGTAACCAGCTGTGCTTTTTTGTTACTCACTATGATCTTACCATGTTGATGATGATTACTAGGCATGTTACAAGGACTGCATCTTCACCACAGCAAGCTATATAGATACAGAGAGGTTGGAGGGGGAGTTCTGAGGAGTCTAGGTAGACGTAATCGGGTGGGGAAAAAGAAGATGGAAGAAGTGAGATTGCTGGTTTTTTGTTTTCTTACTGGAAAAAAAGACATGGAAAAACTAAGGACTCTTTTATGCAAGGCAGCGGATCTTATCTATAGCTTGAAGTTACTCCTGTGTTTCTGTAGTAAATAATGGATGTGAACTATAGGTGTGCTGCATACTTTAGATGAGTAGAAACTTTCATGGCAAGTTGCTGCAGAGCAGATGCTTGTGTATTATACCCTGCCAGAAAGTAAGACATTTCCCCTGAGAAGTTTTGGTACTTAAAAAAAATAATAATAATTGCACATTTCAAATTGGTTTCTGAGTTCTCATAAACCATGGTTATAGCTTGGATGTATCAATCGTAAGATGGGGAATTTCTGAGAAATACATTTGTGCCTTAGCTGTGCAGATTTTGTATAACTTTGCACCTGATGATGAGCTGTGTCGTCAGACCTTAGCCTTCTCCTGAGGAAATCAGAATCTGTTTCTATGCTGTGTCTGCCTAGGACCTTCAAGGTCTTTTTGAGAGACCTGCTGTTCCCAGCAAACGTATAGTTTACTGTGAAGTCTGTCGTGTTCAGAACTGCCAACCTAGATCGCTCATGGTCACATAAGACACATTCGAAACACTTGGACAGGTAAATAGAAAGGTCACTCCCATCAGTGCTTGTGTTATTTAGCTGGAACAACTGTCAAACCTACCTAGCTCTGAGCAAAAGATAGAAAATTGCCCATCTTAAATGTCCCTGTTGATCTGCTTTTGGGTTGACTTCCAGATTTTCATGTCCAAAAGAGAATAATTAAATGATTGTTCAAGATGTATGGAGTATAAATTAGATCACTACTTCTAAAACACAGCATTTTGTAAAGATTGTAGGTAATGAGATGAAAGTAAGATTTGTTTCCTTAGTGATTTTTGAAGGTTCTGGGGAAAAACAGTGAAAAGCTATTTGTTTCACTGCTTTACCAAAAAAATGAAGCAAATCACTGTCTTCACTGTTGTTACTTTACAGGCACGAGGAGGTGGTTCACTTAATGTTGAAATGGTTGGTTTAAGAGTTAGCTGTGAAGAAAAAGTCAGAATTACTGGAGGCTGACCTTACGTTTTTTGCCCTGCGTGCCTGGATTTCTTTTTTTTTTTTCCTCAAGTAAACTTCAAGTTACCAATTCTCTCTTGAGGGAAGATCCATTTTGTAGAAAGAATGTATCAAGCTTTTTGACACTTTCCTGGGACAGGCTAACACTCCTTCAGATACCTGTTGGCTTTGCTGTTAGCCATTTAGATTTTAAGAAGTATCTAATTGCTTGTCTCACTGTTCTTTGGAAGTCTGGGACTTTGAAAATCATAATTTAGATGCGCTCATGTAAGCGATCTGCCTCCTTTCGGGTCCTATCAAGAAGCCTGACAGAACAGCTCTCGAGTCTTTTGCATGCTACTTATTTAAAACTTGGGTTCAGAGAGCGTGAATTCAGGTTTGGTTGTTAGTGTTTCAGAACAAGCTTCTGGATTCTTTGGCCTAGTTTTCCAACTACTCGTGCTCAGAGAACGGGGACAGAGTTCACTATAATTAGCCATTCTTTGTCAAAATGTCTTTTTTAAAAGTAATTATTTCTTATTATGGTGAATGTGGATTTTACTAGTGGTTATTTCCTTACTAAAATGAGTATCACTTAAAGGTATTATGGGAGTGGGGGAACTAAATTTCAGAAGCCTTAAATACATTTTAAAAAAAAAAAAAAAAGACTTTTGCAAAGGCGAGGAGTAAATATAGTCTCATTCAAGTCTTGTTCATTGCATGTTACTGCTTTGCGTAAGAAGTCAGTTTAGAAGCAGGGTTAATGCACTGTGTAAAGTATAGACGCTAACCACTTTTAGCAGCTGAATGGCTCTGTAGTTACAGCTAGTGATGTTATAATCAGTCCAGTGCTGGAACCATCTAATAAAGGAATTAATGCTCGTTTACTACCTTTAGAGCATGAAAATGTCAGGTAAGTAACTCAGGAGCACTAGTCCTTTTCCTTGTTAATTTTGATCAGTCAGTTGCAGAAAATGCACAACAAACAGAAGGAAAGCACATGTGATATTAAGCTGAATTTAAGAGAAGAGGTAAGTTTGGTTTTGGTGGGGGGGGGCTGTGGAATGGGTTGTGTTTTTTTTATTTTTTATTTTTTTTTATTTAATAAAATCTCACATTAGGCTCTTTCTTCTTCTTGGCAGAGAAATTTCTCAATGTCTGTAAACAGTGCCGCTGTCCTGAGGTTGACGGGACGAGGAGGAGGAACGGTGGTAGGGGCTCCTCGAGGTCGAAGTTCCTCTAGAGGTCGAGGTGAGCCATTAGGACTGGGGATTTGTTACAATATGTGGAGATGAGGTCCAGGTTAAAGCTTCTGAAAAATGTTAGGTGTAACTTGATTATAGCCAGATTTTCTCATGCCCTGTTACTTTTCCCTTAAGACTTTAATGGTAGCTTATTGGAAAGATTTCAGAGAATGACTACTGCATTCTTAGTGATCGTTCTGTGTACCTTCTTAACACGTATCTGGTACCTGTGTTATATGACTTCATCAGATTAGGCGTGGAAAAAAAAAAAGGGTAGTTTTGAGGTGGAATAGGAAGTTGCTTGCTTCAGAGTTGCTAGAAATAGCATTGATAGAGGTATAAAACCAACTTACAGTGAAAGAGGAGAATCCACAAATCTATTTAAAACATTAAGGCTGTAATAGGTGGCATTCAGTGTTCTGAAAAGTCACTGTATCTATTAACATCCCAATGTAAACATGAAAAGGTTAATGGGGAGGCATAACCTAATTTGGGAGAAATTTGAGTCTTGCCAATTTTAATGCATCACTATAATCAATGTCCTATCCTGGGTCACTTCAAACATTTGGAAATAAATTGAGAAAATGTCCTCAAGCAGTATCACTAGATTTAAAGCGAGTTGTTAATGCCAGAATTTATGTTGGCCGTTCCCTTTCAACGAGTGTACGGCTGTGAACGCTATTCTGGGTTTTTAATATAGGAATATACCCTGTTAATGTATAGAATACTAGGAGCTAATAACTTGAGAATATCTTCAGGAGTCATTAGTTATGTAACCTCTGTCTTTGCAGGTGCTTAGATGAGGTTTTTCTAGGGGTCCTATCTAATGTAATTGTAAATGTCTTTAAATTGAGATATTTTCATTAACATCTTTGGAAATAATTCCATGCATAATTAAATGTTTGACCAGAATTTTGCTTTCATTTAATTTGTGTTCTCATTTCTGTTCTCTTTCCTTAATCCTGCTCCATTCTTTGCTTATTATGTCTTTTAGATATTTGTAGAGTACCATCTGCCCCCTTGTGGCTGTTGCTTAGCTAAGGCATATGCATTTAAACTTGTTTAGGACCATCTGCTGGTTTCCTGCCATTTCCCCTTCTTTATTTATCATTGTCTTTGCTGCTTAGATGCTCAGGGCTTAGTTTAAAAAAAAAATGTAGAAAAATGTTTCTCATACAGGTGTGGGGAGAGACTCTTACTTATCTGTACCTTGTTACATTTCTGTTGTGTATTTGAAAACTGTATGCCTTAAATGTGCATATTGCATTGCTACCATCCACGTTTCACTTTCCCTATGAACACATATTAGCTATTTATTTTTATAAATGCTTTAAGACTTAATTCTACAAATGCAATGAACATTACTCCAAAATTTGGTGATATGAGCTCATATGAGCACTAGTGTGCTCTCTAGTGTCAATCTGAGGATGTTTTGACTACTTCTAATTTACCTAACTCCATCTTTATCTTTTGTCTAATTTTTTTCCTCCTTTTGTTGGTGTAGGATTAACGATGATTGTCATCCTTACTCAGTGAGCAGTGAGGGCTTTTTAATTGCCCCCGCTAGTTTCAGTGAGGTCAGAGTTAAATGTGGCAGAATATGGCTCCTAATCCAGTAATTCTATCATCAAATCTATGGACTGCAATTTTGTTTGGCAATAAAGTTTGAGTACATTTCTGTGGACAGAACTTAGAGTATCGAGACTTTTTGAAAACTTTTACTGCATGTTTTCATGTTTTCTCATACTTCAGTGTTTAATATATGTTAAAAATATTAGCTTAAGAATTTTGCAAAATTCATCTCTTGCTCACTTATTTTAGTTTTTAATCCTCATTTGATCTCTCTTTCTCTAAGTCTGTATGAATCTTTGCGCACTGTACTTATTAGGCTACTTTTACAGGTTAGCAGAGGTAAGAATGACAGTGACGCTTTCTACCCCCTTGCCTCATTCACTTTTCATTCTTGATACAGTTAAAATTGTAAATTACTGAGCATTCCCTCTTTAAGCCATCCTGGTTGCTGCTTGTTTCTTCCCTTCTTCCCCTTTTCTTCCTGTGAACAATTGGCCTTTGGCTTTAGGCGTGATGAGTCTTCATGAAGTTCCTATATCTTAGCAAACAAAAAAGGGTTTCTACGAGGATCAAACTGTGTATTTTTAATAATTGCATATTTGATGTTCTTTTAATTAAGGACTTTGTGTCTAATAGTAATCTATGAAAAGCTCTGCATAGGACTGATGACATCTAACTTTCAAAAGTAACAGTTTGCTCCCAGCAAGCTTTAAAAGTAGTTCTATTTTGGCAAGCGATGATGAAAAGGACTTGTGGAATTTCTTCATAGTTTGTTCACTAAATGAATTGCCTCACTTAATTGGAAAGCATTTTTATTTGTAGCCTTGCAAAATCGCCTGGGTTCAAAAGGTTATCTGATGTGTTTTGATGTTTACGTCATTGTATACAATAAAGCTGCCGATGATCAAATTCAGGCTTCAGCTTTACTAAAACAAGATTGTTGTCTTGGACAGACTTGCACAATAGTAACTTCAGGGAAGAATTTGCATGTATGATTAAATTTGTTAATTAAGTTCCCTTACTGAGGCACTGGTCATAGAATTGTAATACAACGTTTAGGAGGAGGTGAGAGAGAATCTGGGACACAGATTAGGTAAGGGATGACTGAATAAACCACTGGTAAAGGTTATTATTAGAACTTGAAATGTGACTTCAGTTATCATTATTTAAAACTACAAAACAGCACTGAGTAAATATTTTCTCAGTAGTCACCTCGAGTCTTTCTTGACAGCGAATGCATTTTTGACATCTAGTTGATGTAAAAATAATTCCTGTGGTTCTTGACGTGGAAGTTCCTCTGACTTGGTTTAAACTTTTTTTTTTAATGACAGTATGCTGAAATGCAACCTAATGTTGAGAGCATTTGTAGTTTGAAACGGTCATCGCTAATGTTGCATATATGTTTTGTGTGGGGACATAAACCCTAAACTTTTTATTTACTTCTGAAGTTATATTCTCTAAAGGAACCAAGTACTTGCACGTGACCTCTTTTTCTAATTGACTTGTTTTCCTGGGAGCTCCCTGTGGTGTGCAGTTAAGCCCTGCGCTTTGTGCTTGCCGGACTGGAATGTCAACATTCATGAATAAGAGCCTCAGATGAGGAGAGATTTAAGCAGTCTTTGGACTGGATTGTAAGCTTACAGACACCTTGTTTTGTTGCTGTTCTCCTTTTTGGTTAAGGCCATTTTGAGGGTCTCTTTGCTTCCTTTTAGAGCTTCCTTCCCCCCCCCCCCCCCCCAAAATCTTTGCTGCTGTTTGAAAAAGTGAAACAGTGTGAAAGTGAAAAGTTCTAATATATCCCAAAACAGCTAGACGTCAGCAAGTAGCCTGCTGTTGCCACATGCTATTAGGACTGTGGTAGTAGATCCTAAACTTCAGTCATGCTGTAATTACAGGAATTTGCTTGTCGTGTTGCTTTTTGTGTAATGACAGTTAATGGCAGTGTATGCTGCTACTTACCTTCTTGCTTGTATCTAGTATGCTTTACTGAAGTTCACACTCGTCTGTTTTTCAGGTTAGAGATTTTTGGCTGTATGCTACAGTATCCAGGCGAATGAGGCCCTAGTTCTGAGGTTTTTAAGGAATTACGGAAATGCAAATGACAACCACTCCAGTCAATTCTTATACGGTTTATTGATGTGTATTGACTTTGCATTCTATGTTTTGCCCATTCAGCATCTACATTTAGATAGTTTGTTCCTCGTATGCAGCCATCTTTTGGAAGTGGCATTCTGTTTAAAGTAAGCGTATGATTCTAGATATATTAGCCACAAAATGTTAAATGGTGCAAAGACACAGGGTGGCAAACAATGTGCTTATGTGCAGTTTTACCCTCTCTGCAAGCTTTGCCTTTTCCATATGTTCTGTTATCAGTATTAGCTGTGTCCTAGTGTGCACTTTCTGGTCAGACTAATCTACTTAATGCTTACTGGATAACTCTGACTTTTATACACCACGGTTTTCTTTGACTAGCTGCATAGCTTTCCGTAGCTCAGTAGAAGCTGTATCAGTGTACAGTATGGTGCTGCGCAGTGGTCTACTTGCTTTCTGAAAAACTGTACCTTCTGCAGAGGACTATCAAATAGCCACAACTTGATACTGCACCTAGACAGTGTCCCTTACCGAATGCAGTCAAGGAGCGTGGCAATACAACCGTGTCTTTCACAATATCCTCGTTGGCAAAGGTGACTTAAATAGGCCCTGCCTGTGCTGTGGGGGATCGGTACTGCTGGGAGTCGTGAGCCGCATGGCCCTACAGATGGCCTTAAAATGAGTTGCGGAACTCATTTGACCTGAGATCATATTTTAATTCAGACCATTTCAGAGGCTGATTGAGCACAACTGAAGCGGTGTTGAACTGTGACATATAGAGGGGGCGTAGTTGGAAAGAGGTTTCTTAAGCTGTTGTTTCACATACTTTTTAAGCTGGCATAAGCCATGCTGCTGTTAAAAACAAAACTGTGATATAAGGCTAAGAACAACATGTGTCATTTGCCTTATTTGTTGATGAAATCCCCAAGTCACTAGCCATCTGCATCTGTTAGTTGTGTGATTGTGATATTAGTAATCAGTGTGCGTTCATGCTTTCTTACACTGCAAGGGGAGCACTACAAACGTTGCTTTGTCGCCCGCTGTAAAAACAGGAAAGGGCGATTGAATTCGTTTCTGGTGGAAAAGTCCGTGCAACTTTCTGCCTCCCCTACCGCAGAGAAATGAAGTGAGTCAGTGTCTTCGTTCTGCTTTGGCTCTGGCTGCCTGTGGTTTTCTCTTGTGAGCTGTTTCTGCATCTTCTGCTTCATTATCTTCTGTGAAAGGGAAGAAGAGAGCTTTCCTGTAGTGAAGGAACCAGGCAAAGGCTGACACTGCATAAGATGAGTAAAACTTCCTGGGGCTCATCTGTGAGGAATCACAACTTGGAGTTCTTGCCCAGCACTCTAGGGGACCATAAATCCATAACTGAATAAACGTCATGCTACTTTTTATGCTGTATTGCTTTTTCTTACTGTATTTTGCCATTAGAACTTATTTTTCACTCATGATTATGGTCAGCCTTGCAGTATTGGCTTTCCCATAGTGAAGGTATTCATGTTTCTGACTAATACAGGCAGGCCTGGTACTAACTCTTCTTTTGGCCTGAATACTAAGTCACCTCTTCTGCCTCCACCTGAGTTTGCATGAGAATGGCCATGCTGATGCAGGCAAAGGCTTCATTTAAACCAAGTCCACCTCCAGCAGTGGCCAAAAGCTGATGCCTTGGCAAGAGAATAAGAACTGGGTAAAAATAGCAAGGTGGAGCTTCACCTAAACTCTCAGCTTCTGAACATTTGCAGCTTGGTGGATTTCCTGAGCCAGGTGTGATTTCTCTGTATTTAGTAAATCTCAGTCCATTTCTCTTTCATGAGCTTGTCTAGTCGCCATCTGGGTTTGTGAACTTTAAGCATCCTCAGCACCCTGGGGCAAGGAAGTCCACAGCTCTGGCAAGGAAGTCTATGGCTGAACTTCTTTGCTGGTGCTAGGAGCAGGATAGTTTTACCCAAAGAGGATGTTTAAATCTGGTTTCTGAAGCAGAAGTAGGTATTGCACAGAATTTTATGCAACTTTCTCAACCACCCTGCAACCTGGGCTGTCTGATATGAAATTAGTATGTGTTTGAGAAGCCTGACTGGATTACCTGTGGATCCCTTTTCCTCATTGTTTGGAAAGAAGCTTTTGTACAAGAGGTGTAATATAGGGTAATAGAGAAACTATTCTGCAACTGCCTTAGTTCTTTCCATTATTTTTAGAGGCCCTTCTCATAGGACATTGAAATAAGGCATAATCCTTGATGCATCCTGGGGTCTTTGGATTTTAGATGTAGAGGCTTGTTGTTGTTGCTTTCTTTTGAAGACTAACGACTTTGGAGTCCGTTCTCAATTTCTCAAAGATGTTTGTTTCATGTTTCATTTGGTCATTCTGTCTTGTCTTCTTTCTCCAGATCCCTGGACTGATTTGCACCTCATCCTTTGAGGTGTTTGTTTTCTTTGAGCCAGAAGGAAGTGGGAAGGGTGTGTGACAGAGTTTCACAGCTAGGAATTCCCTTCGCCAGGCGTTCTTTAGGTTCTTGGACTTCTTTAAGAGTATGACAGTAGAGGCTGCATGTATATGTAGGCAAGGAATTGCCATGACAACCAGCTAATCAACTTATTTCGCTTGATTAGTCCTTCTGATCCTTGAATGGCAAGATAGTTGATAAAGGCCTCCTACTCTGCTGCTGTAGCACTTTGAGGCAGTATTATGCCTTTTTTTTTTAGATCTGGATATTTATCCCCCAGCCACTAATCTAAGCAGTGCTGGAACTTCCCCCAGCTCTGGGGATGTGTTTGTGTGGGTTTTCAAAAATGTATTATTATTAATAACCAAAATGCCCTCTTCTTCCCTGCCCCCAACACTGAAAATGTGCTTTACTTGAGGATGCATATGAGAATCTCTGGCTTGAGGTTTGCTACTTGGTAGCAAATTGCTACTTGGTAGCAAATTTCTTGAAAAAGTGAATTCTGAGGTTACTGGGGTTCTTCACATCATCTTGCCAGTATGCTTCCTGTGATCCTCCTTTTCTCCCCACTGCTGCTGGGGGGAGACTTCTTCCATTTCTAGTGATCCTCAGCAAGACTAAGTGGTAAAGCTTCCTTCTCTCTTAACCTTGACAGCAGTAGTTAAGAGAACATCTGCAGCACAGGTACCGTTGTTCTGGATGCTGCCATTAAAAACGATCTGGTTTTTGTGAGCATTAAGTACACGTGTATCCACTATGGCAAAAGCGTGGACACTGTGTGAACAATGCATTCTTGTTTGGTAATTTCTGTAGGGTAAGTATCTGCTTCTATGTTTTTCTGCGTAATATTTATTACAGAATTGTTTGCCTGTTGTGTCTGATCCTGTGCTTCATGATAAGAATTTTTTACAGAAGACACTTGTGTCAGTCTTTGTTCCTTTTTCCTTTTGCCCCAAATAATTTTACTGGGGCTTAAAATCCTGAGATCAGTTCACAGGGAGATGTGAAAAAGGAAACCTACCTGACTCTCTCAACTACCATTATTATTTGTTCAAATACTTGTGTTTTTTGTCTTTTCAGGCAGAGGCCGAGGAGAAAGCGGTTTCTACCAAAGAAGTTTTGATGAAGTGGAGGGTGGATTTGGGCGAGGAGGGGGCAGGGAAATGCACAGATCACAAAGTTGGGAGGAAAGGTAACAGAAAACTCTAGCTTTTTAAATTTTGTACATATATCTGCTCAGCTTCCATTTGTGCCTTGTGGCTACATAAAAACATCTCAGGAAAGGTGCTTAGGCATACCTGTGAGTGAAAGTTTCTGAACTTCTGAGGTGGGGCTAACACAGTGGTGTCTCTAGAAACTCAGGAACAAGTTTAAAATTTTTTTTTTCCCAAATTTTTTCTGCTAAGTTCCTGCAAAGAAGAAATTGCTTCAACAGAACATAACTTATGGGAGCTACAATGGAAATGGATAACCTCTGGGTGAAAATATGCATTGCTAAGGATTTACTTCAGTTTTAGTCTTGATACTGTGTTGATGGTATTTAGGGTCATGTTTCGAAACGCATCTAGTTGCCAAAGGTTTCCTGAAAATCTCGGTTGTCACTTAGACCTTTAAAAATTCTGTCCATCAAGGTCTGATTTTAAAAAAGAAAAAAAAAAGAAAAAAAGAGCCGTACCTAAAACAAATGGAGCAGTTCCAAAACCTTTTTTGAAACTTTTATTCTGCCTTTCTAGGGGAGACAGACGCTTTGAAAAACCAGGGCGAAAAGATCCAGGTACGTCTGTTTTGTGTCTGTGTGGGGAGGAAGTTGGGGGGGGGGGGTGTTTTGGGTAAGGGCCTGTATATACATAAACCCTCTTTCTTTCTGCTCCAAGTCTATTTATTGATGTAAGATTCATGGTACTGTGCCAAGTTTCTCTGAATGTATTTTCAAAAGTGTTTTTTTAATTTTGTATTGATTTAACAATTAGGGATCTTAATGTTTTGGAGAAGAAAAATCAGCGGAAGGTAGATTCTGCTTACTCGATTGAAGTGTGATGCCCACAGTTGGAATTCAGTTCCTATGTGTTTGTGAAAGGAGACTTTGTTAACAAACAGGTGCTCTGTGGGAATTTGCCTTTTAAGTGCAGCTTTTAAACATTTGTGGCATCTACTATTTTGGTATCTAGAACTACTTGACCATGTGAGCTATTTAATTTTTTGAATGCTTACTTGTGTGAGACAGATCCTAACAGCAGCCTCTTGAGGTTCCTGTTCTTACAGAATTACTATCTGTCAGATATGTTTCTTAAATCATCATACGTATCTTCTGTTCAGTCAGGTTATCATCTGTTCCCCTTCTCTCCCAATAAAGCTGACAGAGTACACCAAGAAGTGTACCTGCCAGCTGTCTGATGCTGTTCTTTAAATACTTCACGCTGGCCACTTTCAGGCAGAGTACTGGATCCTTACTTTTGGCCCAGTATGTATATTTGAATATTCGCCTGAACTTTAGCTGGAGCAGATTGTCGTCTTGGAGATGGAACAGATCGATGTAGGTAGAATCTGTATTCTGTTAGTGGTGCAAATATTCAAGGAAATTGTCCTATATCAGCTGAATATGTTGCATGTGCAGTGAATTTTGCTTCATACGATCGTGCATTGATTGTTTTCTGGTGTGACCTTGCTCTCTCTGGCATGTTTCCTAGTATGCAGCACAGCTGTGCTTAGTGAGAGGTTTATGTACCAGTAAAAACTTGCTGACCATGAATCTTGCCTTTTTAGGACCCAGAGGATCTCTTTTGGCCTTTGCTGAAGGAGTCTTAGCTAAATATCCTCCCTTACTTGAATGTGTGGGTAAAGCGTAGGTCAGAAAAGACACTTGTAGATTGGATTTCAAGACAAAAACACTTAGACTGAGTTGCAATTCCAAGTTGCTAAGAATGTGTTTAACGCTCCTGCTTAGCTGTAAGTATCTTTTTTAGGGAGAGTGCTGTAAGTTTCTATTTTAGTAATTTCAGATTACCTTGATGACCCATGCCTTGAAAGTCTTAAATTAATTTGCCATGTCTGCTTTCAGAGCCCTCTGAATCTTCTCTGTGTGTGTGAATTGTTCTTGTATAATTGAAAGGGTGCTTCTATATTTCTGCTTTTTAAGTTGAAAGTTGGCACAAAACCAAGAGATGCTGCTAGTTTTCCTCACTATCTCTTTTCCTTAAAAAGAGATTACTCCTAAAAATAACTTCAGATTGTCCATCTCTAAATGCCAGTACTGAAACTTCTGTCTTCCACTGTCTTCTATTCGGACATCTTTTGGAAAAAATGAAAAAATAAATAGGTACTGTGAGATTTCAGGACTGCTTTCCACTCCCACCCCCAAAAAGGGAAGCTGTGAAGAAGCAGTGCAAGTAATACCTACAGCAATTGACTTCATTTGATTTATCCCCTTCCTGTCCTGTTGCCAGCCTCTTCCTATTGCGATAAAATTGCAACATTTCCAGATCCAGACTATAGAATGTACTTAACTTCTGGGTAAGATTGCGATTGAAAATATTACTTCTCACTTTAGGATGAGATGTATCTATCCATTGAAACTGAGAAGAAATTAAAGTAGGCAAGATGTCTGCACTGAAGCAGACTTCTGCCAGAACAGGGAGGTTAATGCTTTGACTCCTACATAGCATGTCTTATTTGTAACAACTACGAGCGATCAGGGCTCTGGAATATATTTTGTTGTGTGCAGTCTTTTGGAGAAGACAATATCCCCTTGTGTTTTGGAAATCCTGATTCATTGTGAGCATGGGGTTCTTATTCTCAAGTCATGAAACTTTGTGCTCTAGTTTGATCTTACTCGCCTAAAACCTCTATAGCACGCAGTATGGTAGAGGTGAGTCGTGTAAGCCTTTTGAAGTTTTAGTGTAAAAATTGTTTTAACGGTAGTTATTTAGGTTTGCTTATCAGTCTGTTAGAGTAATGCCCAAAGAAGGGGGAGGTCTTTCTCTCCTCCTTACCTTTGAAGAGAAATAAGGTGGTGAGCACAGAAATATTAACAAACTGTTGGTCTGGTTTGACGCCAGCTAGGTTAATAAATAAATGATTATTGCTGTGTAAATGTTTTCTAGTGACAAGGTAATACATTGGGCATAATATAGGGATACACATTTGCCTAAAGAAACCTGATGTTAATACCCAACATGAATATTGCTGATATAGCAGTTAAAGCAGAACGGTCAAGGAGTGAATTGACATGGCAAGAACTTTTGCTTGACTAGTGACTCTGCAATTTAGGCTAGCAAGCTTTAGCAGGTGCATGTATTGGTTTTTGTTGTCCTTGTTAAACTTAGTCAGGGATTTTAGTCTGTGTCATGCTTCAGTTTCTCATTGCTTTTTTTCACAGGGCCTTGGGTTAGCCTCAAATGTACTGAGTTGCCAGCTTGTTTATATTCTTTGTTCTGGCTGATCATACCACAGGATTAATAAGAGACCAAATATGAAACTTTCATGGACATTCATAATGGATGGCAACCCAAGAAAGCCTCAGTTAAAAATCATGACGTTAAAGTAGTAACAGACTTTCCGTAGAGAACTATTCCTCAAATATGATCAATGTGCTGAGTTCAGAAAAACTAGCGATCACTTTTTCAGCACTCAGAACAGTTTACCAGTTCACGTTTGCTGTTTATGCTGAGAATCAGTCAATAGCTGTTCCTAGTTTCGGTGTTCAGACTGAAGATGCACAAAGTGTCTGTGAGTTTGGTACCGGTTGTCACAGTTCTGACAGGCTGCGTGGAGAACCTCGACTTGCTTTAGGAAGGCTGAGGCCATTAGCTAAGAACATGAGTGAGTTGTTTTCTTCAGCATGAGTGTGTTAAGAACTGTACAAAAGCTGCTTAATTTTCTGTGCAGCCTCTTGACTAATGCCAGCTTAGTAGCTGAGGAGATTTGATTAGTAACCAGTAATTATACACTCATAATAAAAAATGGTAACGTAGATTAAACGAGACCTGTAGAAAGGCAGTTGTGGAACCTGATTGAATTCTGTTCAGTGTATATATATTCTACAAGTCCTTTGAATTAAATTTCCATTTACTTTGCCTGCCTTGTTTTCCTCCCTCCCTCCCTCGCCAGCAGGAAATATATCTAAAGCAAGTTCATCTCTACCTCGCTCTTGCGACGTTAGTCAGAGCAGAAGATGCAGTTTTGCTGCATCAGAGCTGATCAGCAATCTTTCTAGGCTCATATTCTGATTTGCCCTGTGGCAGATTTCAAATACTTCATGAAACAGCCACAGTTCAGCCGTTCTACAGAACTGTAAAAGTAATAGGGGTGTTTTGTCTAGCTCTTATTCTGCAGCTGTTCTGAAATAACTACACGTTGTTCTGTCCATATGTCTAATTTGCTTCAGTAGCATTCTTCAGCTGTACGTTCCACAAACGCTATATTTGAAAAGTGTCTAAGGTATATTAAGCATAATCTTATTTGTACTTGTTGCTTTAATTTTTGTACTTGCCTTTAAACCAGATATATAAGTTGAAAATAATTTTAAAACAGGACAAATTTAAAGTCTCAAGAAGTCATTTAAAAACTGAACAAAGCAGTCCACCCTTTGTAATTAGACCTCCACTGAAATTAGAGATAGCTTTTTATAGCTTTGGCTCTAAACGGTGAGACTACGGCGCTGTCCTGTTGCATTACGCAGCGGAATTGTAGAGTAATTGGTTTGTCTGAGACTGGAGTATGTGATCATGGAAAAACACTACTGTGTCAAGTTTGAAACGCTCATTTAGAAAAGAACAGTGTCCTATGGGAAGTAATCTGCTCTGTAGCTCTTGGGCTGATTGAGAAGGAAAAGCCTTATGAATTCGTGTGTAATATTGAGAGAAGATGTGAAAATTAAACTATAATAAGAAATATTTGAAAATTGCTGGTACTGATATGAAGGTGGGAAAGGGAAATTTAAACTGCATGTGGATGACCAGATCAGAAGAGTTAGGAATGAAGGCAATACCATTCGATAGTGTGATGCTCTACAGACTCTACAGTATTCAGGAATGCTTTTATGTATGATTAAATTCCAAAGAAGATTTTGAGAGTCTCTATATTAAAACCAAATCAGTCTAAGTTCAGGAATGTAGGCAGGCAGTGTCCAAATACTTTTGGAATAAGAGCTGAAGTACAACAAAAAGAGATGATCCACTACTTCATTCCCCTTCCCTCTGTGAAATGGTTGTATGGGGCTGCTGCTTCCCATTTCCAAAGAAAGGCTAATTCTGTAATGACTCTAGCAATCGGAGACACAGGAAGGTTATACTGTACTTTTAGTCATCTCTTGATAAAGATTTGGAAGTGTGGACCATAAGACAAAGCAGCTTTTTGCTACTCCTTCAGGTTGTCTGTGAACACTGTTTGATTAACTTAGTTATTGGGTGTAAACACTTCAGTTAAACAGTGTCTTGTCAAACAGCTTCAGGCTACTTTTCCTGCCGTTGGCCACTTCCGTGAAGTTACGAGGAAGTCTGGTAGTGTACTACGCTTTTGTCAATGCAGGGTAGTATTTATGCCATCTTTGTTTCTGGGAAAAGCCTTTTATCTTTGAAAGACAACATTTACTTTATTTTGATATTTGGTTATGCATGTATGAACATAGAATAGACATTGCTTCTCTTGAGAACCTAGAAGAAAATTATTCAGCATTCTATTTATGTTTTAGCTTCTTACGTTATTTAGGAGTTTCAGAATAACTTCTTAATTGCAATAGGCTTTGGAGGCACTTAAATACAAAAGTCTCATTGTTTT